AACATTACTTTTATCTTGGCAGTAGATTATGTTGGTTAGATTGTCCTAACATTCATGATAAACACCAATAAACGCCAAAATTATAAAAAATGACACAACAAACATTTAATTCTATTTTAAAACAGAAAGACCTAGTAGGTTGTAAAGAATGATAAAATTGTACAAAGTGAAAAAATCTGTAGAAACTTTAGGTCATTTTGTAGCCTGAGTGTATATTGGTATTTTAGCTTCACACAATCACAAGGATAATCATTTAATTTTAATGTTATTGATAACACAGTAAAAATGTTCATACTGCACTGCAACTGAAAGTAGTCAAGCAAATTAATTTCAACTTAAAGATGTAATGAATTTAAATTAGAGAGTCCAGTTTTATAGAGTAGATTGGTCCATTAGTCAAGAGCAAGATTTACTAGCTTTTGAAGAACAGTAGATTAAAGAGATTAAAAGATTACTAAAGAGAAGCCAATGCATAATGAGAGTGGACTGTTTTTCTTATCCTACATGAATGTCATTGCAAACTATGATTAAACATTAGTTTAAAGTTTAAAATATACTTATTCTGTGTATTGTAATTTGTTTTCCACTGTTTATTACAATATAATGCATTGTGTCTGTAGTGAGCTTTGATAAGAAGAGCTGATATTTCAGTCAGTTCAGTCAGTAAGTGTGTGTGGTTTTAGTACAGCTGCTCCATCAGATCCATCACTGTGGATATCGAGCGCAGTAATAAACAGCAGTGTCCTCTGCTCTCAGACTCTTGGCCTCTAAGAACTGCGTGCTTGTAGAAACGTCCTCGGTCATTTTGAAGTGGTCTTTCATGGAATCTGAATATGTTGCTGAATTTGAGCCAGTGATCATCCACCCAATCCATTCCAGAGCTTTCCCTGGTTTCTGTCTTATCCAGACCATGTTGTTACTTGTCATGCTGTACCCACTAATTTTACAGGACATCTTCACAGCTTCTCCAGGTTTCTTCACCTCAGCAGAAGACTGGTCAAGTCGGATCTCAGCACTTATAAAATCTAAAAAATAAAGCATACAACACTCAAGAACAATAAAGAATTGTTAGAACATACTATCCTGAACATGTATTTAGATGTCTAACATACCTTGTGTTAGCATCAGTATAAGAATGCAGTACTGAGCAATAATAAACCCCATAATGAAACTCTTTCACAGCTGACTGTATGTACAGTAATATGAGCATTAGGTGAGTAATAAGCTGATTTTTATGTAGAACCTAGACTGAACATATAAATTTACATAAACACTCTTTGACCAATAGAGTTAGTTCAGTTAGACTATCATTCACTGCTATATTTTGCATGAATAACGGTTGAGCTCAGCGATCTCCCCCTAGTGTTCAGAGACAGTACTGCTGAAATGTCTTTCACTCCCACTGCTTTTCAGATGTCATGCAAAAGCAATGGATTCCAGTCATATTTATATAAATGTTCAAAAAGCTAACAACTCAGTGATGTGAAACTTGATGTGAGATTGGCTTAAGGAGTACAATAATGTAGATGAAACATGAAAGAACGATTTAGTCATTTGTTGGACTTGAACATTACATCCAGTCAATGTCAATAGATTCAAATCTGACTGTAATGCTGAAGGTCTGTAATATACATGTTTATTTTGGTACTTCAAATACATTTTATTTCAAAACTTTTAGAATGTAAAGACTTCCTTTCATTTTTTTTTTCAAATAAATCTGCAGGGACATATTTCCACTCCTCCAAAGTTCAGTCTTAGAAGTTGGTTTGCATTTTCTGCTTCTCCTAATCCCAGTAATCAAACACATTCAGCTATGATGAAGTCTCTTCTCTGGGGCGGCAACACCAGCAGCTTCTATTTTGGAGATGTACATCTTGATCTTCTCATCAGCATGCTGGGGTCTTCTTGCTGTAGAATGAATGTCCTCCCAATCAAACATATTCCAGAATAAACCCATTGCATGATGGATTATAATTTTGTCCTTGTCAGTATTTCTGATGCCTTTAATCAGAAACAAATTACCAACTCCAGATGTGGTTATACATCCTAAAAGTTGCACCGTTACTCCACTGTACCTGACTGATGGTTGTAGACAAGGTTCAAAGAGTATTTCATTGCTTTAGTGGTGCACATACTGTCTTCTGTTACCTTCAGAGCTCTCAGATTTAGACACTGTGACTCTTAGTCCATGAAAGAAAGAAATGTGCAGTGCAGCTGAGGTCAGCGACTGTAGGTACACAACAGTTGAGACTGTACAAATTACATGCCGATAGATTTGATATTATACTTGTGTTGGAGATTGTTGTGTACGTTTATGTTAAATGTATCTTTCCTGTTTTCCTGATGCTGGCAAACTTATAATTTGTACTTAATGACTGTTTCTGGAAATTAAACAAATGAAAGAGCTGAGCATGAATATGCAATACTTTGGGAGTCCATGCAACAAAATACATGAAATGCATGAAAAAGTTACTTAAAATCTTGAAATTCTTAAAATTATTTTTGACAGAAACTTAAAACAGCAAGTGTGTAGGGTCTTTAAAGGAAGCACTCAGTTGCCAGAAATCCTCCAGTCCAAATGCCCCTCTCTAGATCTTTCCCTGGAGACTGATCTGAACCAGCCTGAGTCTATTTATTTGTAATAACAGTATTTTTGTTTTACATGCAGAAGCTATTTAATGTCCCATTCAGTTAGAAGTTCTTAAGTGTTGGCTCTGGGTTTTTGTAAGCCGTGTTCATTAGTTTGTGTCACTGTGAGGCACAGTAATACACAGCTGTGTCGTCCATCTGCAGATTCTGTCCTTGTAATGTTATTGTGTTGGTTCCAGTGTCTCTGGAGACGCTGAACTTGTTTTTCAGTTTATCACTGTAAGCTGTGCCCCCACTGCTAGTGATACGTCCAATCCACTCCAGAGCTTTTCCTGCAGGCTGTCGGATCCAGTTTGTACCATAGGTTGTAACTGAATATGAGACCTTGCAGTTGATGGTCAGTCTCTGGCCTGGACGGACCACCATGGAACCAGGTTGAGTCAGTTCATAACAGTGAACACCTGTAGATCAAAACAGAATTGTTAGATCTTTCATCTTAGACATGAACATAATATAAATTGCACTCTGACTGAGTTAAATGTGTTGTTTACTGAGTAACTCACAGGATGCAGCTGCCAGCAGGAGCAGTAGAGATGTAGAGAACATGGTTGGTGTAGACGTTGGACCTGTGGGATCTTCTCTGTTCTGCACAGCTTAAAACAGAATGTTGTCTAAATAGAGAAATCCAGAGGGGTGGATCTTTGTATTTGCTTATCTAGTGACCCATGAAGACCGAAGACCAAGCTTATTTATGAGATGGAGTTATACCCATGTTCCACTGGGGTATAAATAGGAGGTAACACAAAAGACTAAATTCCCTTCATTCATCAACATGGGGAAGATTATAAAAGATTATAATTATAATTATTATAATTATTATAATTTTATCTCATTTCACACAAATGAAATGAATTAAAAGTGTCTAGCGTTATGTATTAGACATTGACTGTAAAAAGAGAGTTAAACCTCTGAAAACTCCCACATCTATCGTTATGGCGGGTTAAAACAACCAGCGCTGTAGTAAACCTGCCTACTAGAGAAGACACAGGTGTACTTTGCCCCCACATACAGTAAGGATGGTTACAGAGTCTCAACAAAGGCTTATTTTGTCTAAACACAAATGCAAATTGTTATTCAGATGAGGAAACAGAGCTTTCTGATAACAAATATTTCCTCTTCCTATTTTAAAATAGAAAGAAGAAATAGGCTGTTAGTAATTATGAAACTGAACAAAGTAGAAAAATCTGTAGAAACATTGTCATTTTGTAGGTCATACATTGTCATTGTGTTACATTTGCTTAAGTTCTATTAACTTCACTACTCTTCACACTACTCTTTGAATGAATTCAGCATTAGACAGTCGTCGCCCCCTACTGGAATATAAATATAACTCTAGCACAAACTTATGTTTATCATTACACATGATGCATTACTGACACTTCTGCACGAACACACATGGAAAAACAGATTTAAATAATATTTGTTAAAATCAAAAAAGAGAAAAAATCTAAACAACTTAATAATACTAGGTGAAGTAAATATGAAAGTCTGGTTACCTTAATATTTAGTTACATTCTCTTCTGCATTTGTTTCTGTACTGTTTCTAACACAAAAATGCTGGTTTTGTTTCAGGAGAAATACAGTACTGTGCAAAAGTCAGAGCACACCCTGCATTTTCTGGTTAAAACAGACATTGTAAGTTTGAAAAATTACTTTAATGGACTTTCATGTAAATGACTTGTGGATTTGCATTATGTCTTTGGTCTTCCCTGAAATGACAATAATTTAAAAAAATAAAAATAAAATAAAATAAAATAAAATAAAATAAAATAAAAATAGAACAAGAAACAAGAAATAAAATAGAACAAGAAATAAAAAGAGGCAAAAACACCACAAAAAATAGGCTTTTAGGAGTTTTTAACCATTTTTTAGTTTCAGTGCAGGTTGATATTGATTGGCTTTAAGCGGACAGTAACAGTGTAACATTTAGAATACATTATAACATTATAAATATATATATATATATATATATATATATATATATATATATATATATATATATATATATATATATATATATATAAAATAACCTGTACATGATTACACTTAATGAATTAAATGTATCTATTCAAATTTTTAACAGTAAAAACAGAGTTTTCTAAATCTAGAATAGCAGATTAAATCTTCATAGAGCCCATTAAAGACAAACCAACAAATACTGAGCTTGGACCACTCTTCATTTCATCCGAGAATGTTTTTTTTTATTGCTCATTTCTTTTTTAAACACTGGCTTAATGGTTAAAAGTATTCTGTATTACGTCTGTAGTGAGCTTTGATAAGAAGAGAAGTTCGTTCAGTCAGTTCAGTCAGTAAGTGTGTGTGGTTTTAGTACAGCTGCTCCATCAGATCCATCACTGTGGTTGTCGAGCACAGTAATAAACAGCAGTGTCCTCTGCTCTCAGACTCTTGGCCTCTAAGAACTGTGTACTTGTAGAAACGTCCTCAGTCATTTTGAAGTGGTCTTTCATGGAATCTGCATATTCTGCTGAATTTGAGCCAGTGATCATCCTCCCAATCCATTCCAGAGCTTGTCCTGGTTTCTGTCTTATCCAGCCCATGTTGTAGTCTGTCATGTCATACCCACTAATTTTACAAGAGATCTTCACAGCTTCTCCAGGTTTCTTCACCTCAGCAGAAGACTGGTCAAGTAGAATCTCAGCACTTATAATATCTAAAAAAATAAAGCATATCACACTTAAAAACAACTCAACATCTATTAAAACATACTCTCATAGAAATGTTTTAGAAGTCTAACACACCTTGTATTAGCATCAGTATAAGAATGCAGTACTGAGCAATACTAAACCCATAATGGAACTGTCTGGACTGACAGTTTACTGATTCAGTTCTTCAGTATGAAGTAATATGGTCATTAGATGAGTAATGAGCTGATTTTTATGTGGAGACTAAAATACAGACATGAATTTACATAAACACTCTTTGACCAATAGAGTTAGTTCAGTTAGACTATCATTCACTGCTGTATTTTGCATGAATAAAGGTAGAGCTCAGTGATCTCCCCCTAGTGTTCAGAGACAGTACTGCTGAAATGTCTTCCACTCCCACTGCTTTTAAGCTCGCCTCACAGCAAGAAGGGCCTGGGTTTGATTCCCGGCTGGGCGACCAGGGTCCTTTCTGTGTGGAGTTTGCATGTTCTCCCCATGTCTGTGTGGGTTTCCTTTGGGTACTCCGGTTTCCTCCCACAGTCCAAAGACTTGCAGTCAGGACAACTGGACATGTTAAATTGACCCTAGATGTGAATGTGTGTGTGGATGTGTATGTCTGTCTGTCTGAACTGAGATGGACTGGCGACCTGTCCAGGTTGTATCCTGCCTTTTCCATCACCCCTGCGACCCAGAAGGATAAGTAGTTTAGAAAATGTGTGTACCAGTGAAATTCCACAATTGTTATTCAGCTGTGAACCTGTAGTAGTAAAGAATTTTTAGTAATACTTTCTATGAAGATTGTGTTTATAAATATGAATAAATGTGTTTGTAACTATAGTAAAAATGCTTGGAAAGCATCCATGTAAATTCCAACAATTCCTCAAAAGGCTGCGATAATGTGATATCATTTATTCTTTGATGACTTGTAAACATGTGACACACATCACTATCCATAATAATGCCTGTTAAACTGATAATAGTCTGTACATAATTAATAAAGCACCTGTTATAAAAAAATAATGGACCTTTAAAATGCTGTCACTGAGTTTTTCAAGTAAAGTGGTTGATATTTTAGCTTATTGATATTTGAATATTAAACATTGTACTGTGTGTGTCTGTCAGTGAGAGCTCTATAATATACAGTATATCTGTTATTACTGCAGGATCAGCTGTGATAACCTCCTGCCCTGTAAAGTTAGTTAGGTGCCACTTATGTATTCTGGTCATATTTGGAAAATGTACAACAAACAAACATATGTTCAAAACAGTTGTTCTTATTAGACAGAACAGTTGTGTTTGCTGTAATCTTTTTTTCACGGATTCTGAGAAAATAAGAACATTTTTGAATTGCAATAATGTGGGTGTGTTTTTTTCATTTTTTTAAGTGTTAATATGGGACATAGGTGCTTGGTAATTATGCACAGGTCATTATTTAGTTAAAATGCATTATAATGAAGTGTAAGTATTGTGTTACTATACGTTTACAAATCATAAAAGAATAAACTGGAGCCTGAAGTTTCAAATTATGCTGAAAAGGATTGTTATCAATTACAAAGAGTTATAAATGCGTTTATAGTGGCTTATGAATATGGGCTTCTAAGAAAGTGTTCCCCAATTTTTCAAATGTTTGCAAAATTTTACATCCAAAACACAATGGAAATGAAACAGTACTGGGCAAAAGCACTTTAGAATGTTTATTTAATAAAATCTATTTATTTGTTCAACAAGCATTTGTTTGCTCAAGAAAAATCTCCTGTGCTCCAGTTTTTGCACAGCTGTCTGTATGAGTTCCACCACAGTGAGTCTCTGGCACAGTAATACACTGCAGTGTCTTCAGGCTTCAGTTGACTCATGTGCAGGTAGAGATTAGAGCTGTCCTTGGATGCTGTGAATCTGCCCTGAACTGACTGGGCTGAGTTTTTGCTACTTTCAGAATAATAGTAAATAATCCATTCCAGTCCTTTTCCAGGAGCCTGTCGGACCCAGTGCATCCAAAAGCTGCTCAAATCAAATCCACTGCAGGCACAGGTCAGTTTCTGGGATCCACCTGGAGCCACTGTTACTGACCCCTCAGACTGTGTGAGAACCTGAGAGTGGACACCTAAACAGAGACACAAAGAAACAGCAGGTTAAATGCGGTTGGTCAGTTTACTGCATTAATCTGGTTCCTCATTGAGAGAGATAACAGACTCACATCCTGCAATCAGCAGCAGCAGTAAAGACGTGAGGAACATGGTGTTTGTGGAGCTGGAGCTGATCAGAGACACCAGAAACCTGGAGATCCTCTACAAACTGTCCTTCATTCACTCTACATATAGAGGAGTTTGATGAAGAGTTTGCATAACAGCTCAGTGATGTGAGACTGTGAGAGATGTGTGCTGCTCTGGCATTAGGAGAACAATAGGAAGGTCTGCTTTTTTGAATGAAGGGCTCCCCCTACTGGAATATAAATAAAACATGAGGGAATTAATTTCACATTGATATTTAGTCTGTTTGTTGGAGATGCCCTGAACATTCATTCAACAATTGACAATGAATTCAGATCTTACTGTAATGTTAAATGTCTTATTTGCCGTCTCCTCAGAAATATGAACTTTAGTCACTTTAAGTGCACATTGTTAGAGATTTGTGAGGCAGCTAAAGTGAGCTGGACAGTGTAGCTTGTGTAACTGTTAGTGTCTCTTTTAAGGAGAATATAATGTCAGTGAGATCTCTAGGAGCAGCTTTTCTTGGGTGGGAGTTGCTGCAACTGGCTGGTTTTAAGATTGGAATGATGGAAGTGTTAAAGTGGCTGTAGGTGCACAAAAGTTAACAGTGGACAAATAAAAGGCTGAAAGTTTTGGTATCATACTTAGAGTTGGTTGTTGTGTAATTTAATGTTAAATATATTTTTCCTGTTTTCCTGATGCTGACAAATAAATAATTTGTACTTAATAGCTGCTTCAATTAGAAATTAAATAAACAAAAAGTCCACAGAGAAAATGTTTATTGTTTTCAGATTTTTCAGGATCAAAACTTTTTTTTTTAACAGTAAGTGAAATGCAAGATAAGGATCTTTGAAGGAAACTCCAGAGTCTATAGATCCTCCACCCCAAATGATCCATCCTGATCTTTCCCTGGTCTCTGATCCAGGCTGTGCCATCATCAGTGAGGACATTGCTGGAAACCTCACAGTACAACATGTAGGGTAACGTGGGGGTAGAAACCCCCAGGAAAATATGCATGACTTATTTTCTCGAATTGTTTCCACATTTGTTGCCAGCACAACACAGTTAATTCCTTTTTAAGGAGTGTCATCTAAATAGAGAGAGATGGAGGGGGGTGGAGGAGGGAGTTGAGTTGTATTTGCTTATTTACTGACCAATGGACATATTTAAGACATGTAGTAGAGGAGAGTAGTTCAATGCAGTTCATTCTTCTGGGGAAATATTCCTCTCCCTGTTTGTAACCTATATATTAAAAGTGAAGTGTATTAGTGTGTATTAGTGAGTAGACACCCCCGACTTGAATGTAGATTAAATTTTCGCAGATCACTGTATCTGAAACATGTTCCTATTATATTGTCGTTATCCAAAGAAAACCATTGTCATTTGTCGATTTTTATTTTTCTACATCATTTCAACACACCAGCTGTCCTTTACGTTGTGTGAAAATGATGAATGGACCAACAGAAATGCTCTAAAGTCACTTGGAATAAAATCTCTTTACACTGACTTACATTGAAAGTTAAGAGTGTTTTTGCCTTCTCCTGTAAAGTTACTATTTTTGAGATACTTGTTTTTCTTTGGACACAACAATATCTAGCTGAGTGTTCAGCAACTGTTAATGTATCATCTGTGATTTTCTGTTTCACTGGGGTATAAATATGAGGTGACACAGAGGGCAAATTTCCATCATTCATCAACATGGGGAAGATCATAGAACACACAAAGGAAATGAGATAAAAATGTGTGAGTTCATAAAGTTTATAGTTACAGTTTTTTTTTCCCCATTTTAAAGATTCTCTAAAACTAAAATTAAACAACACAATGTCAACAAACTCTATGGAAGGCATGTCAAAAGAAAGCCTCAATTTGTCTAAACACAAATATAAATACCTGAACTTACATTAAAAGTTGTTGGAACATTGATGTGAACTTGACTGCTAGTCAGATAAGAAAACAGAGCTTTCTGACAACAAACATTACTGTATCTATTTTAAAACAGAAATGAGAAACAGGCTATTAGGAAGTTTAAAGATCTATAAAATTGAAAAATCTGTAGACACTTTGTGATTTTGTAGTTTGTATGTTGATACTGTGGTTTTACACAATTACAAGAATCATAACTTTATGCGAATGTTGAAGATAAAGTATTAATAACATTTATATTCAACTGTACCTTCAAAGTAAAGAAGTCAAATTAAATAACTTCAACATAATAACCCAATGAACTGAATTTATCTTTTTAAAGAGAGTGACACTTTTTTTAACAGTGACGAAATAGAAATTGTCCATTAGTCAAAAGCAAGGTTTACTAGATTTTGAAGAACAACGGATTCATTTTTTTAAAAGCCCAATAAACAGAGACCAATTAATGTTGACAATGAATTCAGATGTTACTGCAATGTTAAATGTCTTATTTTCCTTTAGTCTCCTCAGAAATATGAACTTTAGTCACTTTAAATGCACATGAGAAAGAATTTTGTGAGGCAGCTAAAGTGAGCTGGACAGCTTGCGTGACTCATAATGTCTCTTTTAAAGAGACTATAATGTCAGTGAGATCTCTGGGAGCAGCTTCTGTTGGGCGGGAGCCGCTGCAACTGGCTGGTTTTAAGATTGGAATGATGGAGGAGTTAAAGTGGCTGCAGGTGCACAAAAGTTAAGAGTGGACAAATTAAATGCTGAAAGATTTGATACCATACTTAGAGTTGGTTGTTGTGCAATTTAATTTTAAACATTTGTTTTCCTGATGCTGACAAATGAATAATTAGTATTTAATAGCTGCTTCAACTAGAAATTCAATAAACAAAATGATCCCCAAATGATCCATCCTGATCTTTCCCTGGTCTCTGATCCAGGCTGTGCCATCATCAGTGAGGACATTGCTGGAAACCTCACAGTACAACATGTAGGGTAACGTGGGGGTAGAAACCCCCAGGAAAATATGCCCCCCCCCCACACACACACCTTATTTTCTCGAATTGTTTCCACATTTGTTGTCAGCACAACACAGTTCATTCTTGACCTGACAGTGGAGCAAGAAGCCCTTTTTAAGGATTCTAATCTTGAGTGCATTAACAATAAAATGGTCTGTTCTTTGAGTTTATTTCCTACGACAGTGAAAAGGTTTATGCATCATCATTCTGCGCATGATAAACTCAAGCAAGCATATTATTTACTTTTACAGTTAAAGGGCATTAAGACATTTCCCCCATTTCCCCCACTTCATATAGAGATAATTGCTCTTCTATGAATTTTAACTTAAGGTTAGCAAAAGATTGTGTCAGTCAAACTGCCCTAACTTTCATGAAATGATAAACATTTTTATTTATTGAATTCTTTTATTTATTTTTGTATATATTAACAGGACTGTGTGTTTTACATGCAATAAAGTTAAATACGACACAAGCAACTATTTAATGACCCATTCAAACAGAAAAGTTAAAAACATTTGTTGGCTCGAGGTTTTTGTAAGTCGTGTTCATTAGTTAGTGTCAGTGTGTGTATGCACAGTAATACACAGCTGTGTCTTCAGTCTGCAGATTCTGTCCTTGTAATGTTATTGTGTTGGTTCCAGTGTCTCTGGAGATGCTGAACTTGTTTTTCAGTTTATCACTGTAGTCTGTGCCCCCACCATTACTGATATATCCAATGTACTCCAGAGCTTTTCCTGCAGGCTGTCGGATCCAAGTTGTAGCATAGCTTGTAACTGAATATGAAACTTTGCAGTTGATGGTCAGACTTTGGCCTGGATGGACCACCATGGAACCAGGCTGAGTCAGTTCATAACAGTGAACACCTGTTGATCAAAATACAAAGTTATTAGATGTATCATGCACAAAATTGTGCTGTGAAATGTGTTGTTTACTGAGTCACTCACAGGCTGCAGCTGCCAGCAGGAGCAGTAGAGATGTAGAGAACATGGTTGGTGTAGAAGGTAGACCTATTGTGGGTTCTTTGTTCTCCACAGCCTAATAAAGAGTGTCATCTAAATAGAGAGAGATGGAGGGGGTTGGAAGTGGGAGTTGACTTGTATTTGCTTATTTACTGACCAATGATAGTCAAACCTATTTAAGACATGGAGTAGATGAGAGTAGTTCAATGCAGTTCATTCTTCTGTGGAAATATTTTTCTACCTGTTTTTTAACCAATAAAATCAACAACATTTCCATATAAAATGGAATTAAAGTATATATTTCAACATGCCTGGAAACCCTTCTGAAAATAATCAAGTGTGGAACCACATATGAAATGAAATTGATAATGAACATTCAGTGGAAGTGGAATAAATATATAAATATACATTGATATAAATATAAATATATTTATATGAGTGTATTAGTGAGTAGACACCCCTTACTTGAATTTTAGCAAGTACCTGTAACTGAAACATGTTCCTTATATATTGTCGCTGTCCAAAGAAAACCATTGTCATTTGTCAATTTTTATTTTTCTACATCATGTCAACACACCAGTTGTCCTTTACATTCCATGAAAATTTCATGATGAATGGACCAATAGAAATGCTCTAAAGTCTCTTGGAGTAAAATCTCTTTACATTGACTTACATTGAAAGGTAAGAGTGTTTTTGCCTTCTCCTGTAAAGTTACTATTTTTGAGATAGTTGTTTTTCTTTGGACACAACAATATTTAGCTGAGTGTTCAGCAACTGTTAATGTATCATCTGTGATTTTCCGTTTCACTGAGGTATAAACATGAGGTGACACAGAGGGCAAATTTCCATCACTCATCAACATGGGAAAGATTATAAAACACGCAAATAAAATGAGATTAAAATGTGTCAAAGATCATAAATTAGATATCAATTATGTATATATATATATATATATATATATATATATATATAAAAACTGGAGGCAGATGGGGAGGTGCATAAACAGTACAGGGAGCCATAGAGAACATATGAAAACAAGGTAACAAAAGAAACTACTAAGAAAAACAAACTGATTAGATAAATTAACAAACAAAGTCTTGACAAACATAAGGACAGCATAAGCAGGGAAAGGGAAACACGAATATAACAAACCTAAATCAGGAACGTGCAGCAACAACATCTAATATCAAACAAGGCTGGCTGGGGAACAAA